TTGCTAATAAAGATTTGGTTCTTTTCTCTGTTGAGGTGGCTAATACTCTATTCTTGCCCTGTTTCATCAAAGCAAACAGTTTCTCTACAAACAGTATCAGTATCCCAAATTGCACTTAAGTGGGTATTATAAGACTATGAAAGTTGGAAATGTCTTCACTCCATATAAACTGAATTTCACTTTGAAAGTTGGTATATATGATGGGTAGGAGCATGGCCTCTAGAACCAGATTATCTGGCTCAAATTTCAGCTCTCTCACTTACTAGTTGCATGCTTTTAAGGCAAGTTACTTGATTTGTCCTTCAGTTTTCCCAAATCTAAAATGGGTATTACAACCTCTTTCAAATTATTGTGAGGATTTACTTGTTAATTCATACAAAACATTTAAAGTAGTCTCTGGCACATAGTAAGCACCATATGTTAACTATTATTACATGGATTAGAATTTCACCATCCGAGGGACATGATGAGCAACAGAAGGGGGAGGGTGCATTACTATTAATACTCTCTCAAAAAATTGTGAAAATTCTGAAAATACCATCATATTTTCATTTACCTCCTACTAGTTTATTAATAAGAAAGTGTTTTAACAGTTGATGTCTCAAACATTATTTTGGTAAAATAAATCTAAATATAGGTAGAGATTCTATTCATATTACATATTATCTTAAGACATGTACATAAATATTTATGTTAATTATTATATAGGTGGGGTTCCTATATAATAGTCTATCCTATAATTTGATACATATTTTATATATATTATCTGATATTATATATATATATGACCTGACTTGTAATTAGGGGACTAGGGCATGGCATATAATTGGGTATTTAATGCACAATGCCTGACAAATAGTTGGTGCTTAGTAAATATTGTTGAATAAAAGAGTAAATAACTAAATGATTAAATTAATTTATGTCAAGGATATGTCTAAAATTGACAAGAGGAAAGAAAGAAATGGGAAGTGAGCTAAACGTCATGGTTCTACAAGATAGTGGCTTTGAAGCTCTAAATGCCAGAAAAGAGTGTAGGCAATACCAGAAAACTGAGACAGGGCTAAAATTCAATTTGCATCTAACACTGGGATATTTAACAACAGAATCTAAGCTTAGTGTTGAACTGTTGTTAAGTCTTTCTTTAAATGTCATCATCTCTGGCACCTGGGTAGCTTAGTCAGTTAAGTGTCCAGCTTCCTCTCAGGTCATGATCCTGGGATTAGTCCCAAGTCAGGTTTCCTACTAGATGGCGAGTCTGTTTCTCACTCTCCCTTTGCCCCTCTCCCTACTCCTTCTCTCTCAAATAAATAAAATCTTTAAAAAAAATGTTATTTTCTAGGGGTGGGGGATGGGTTAGCCTGGTGATGGGTACTAAGGAGAGCATGGATTGCATGGAGCACTGAGTGTTATAAGCAAACAATGAATCATGGAACGTTACATCAAAAACTAATGATGTACTGTATAGTGACTAACATAACACAATAAAAATATACATAAAATATGGATACATGATTTTAATAAAATATGAAATTTCATTATGATAACTTAATATTTATATAGAAAAGATGTAATTTACACATTCATTTCAGTTTTAGTTACACTGTCCTAAGGAACAAGGAAGTGAGCCTTTACCAGGCGTTGCTGTGCATATTTTGTCAGTGACTAGAATTACAATAACAAAAAGCAATTAAGAACTGATGATATTCATGCCTTGTAGAGGTAACAATATATTATTAACCTTTCAATAATCATTAACTTTCCCTTTCTTAAAAAAAACTGAAAAATAAAACAAATTTGTTTTGATTTTGTAATAAGAAGAAAATTATTATTTAAACCAAAGTAGAAAACATATATATTATATGCAAATGGAAACACAAACAAAAAGACATCATGTTATATTTATGAAACCCTTAAAAAGTCAGAAAGCCTACTCAGAAATTCATAAAATCAAGAGCAGGAAGTTAAGACGAATTCAAATCAGCAATATTCCTTTTTATTTAATCCCCTTGAAAGTCTTATAAACAGTTTCTAGTCACATTCACCAATTTAATTTTTATAAATTCAGCAGCAGTCTTTGGGACACTAGGAGACAAAGAATGTATTGGAATCCTCAGTGAACCAGGTGGATTCTTGCTCCATTCCATTGTTCAGGTCTTCATCATGGGGTCTTCAAGGCTGAACTGAAACCATAAATAGAAAAACTGTTATTTTTCTCTTTATGCACACTTACATAGAACTATGTTGTAGTATAATGTGTTATAGCACACACACATTCACACACCAAACACACACACAGACTCACATGTATTAAAAAGCTTACTACTTCCCTGAACAGAAAACTTGAAAGCAATGATTTGCAGATTTCACCATGCATGAGAATTATTTCTAGCTCATAGAATGAAGAAGGCACCCCAAAATGCCATTTTTTAAAAAAATTTTATTTATTTATTTGACAGACAGAGATCACAAGCAGGCAGAGAGGCAGGCAGAGAGAGAGGAGGAAGCAGGCTCCTTGCTGAGCAGAGAGCCCGATGCGGGGCTCGATCCCAGGACTCTGAGATCATGACCTGAGCCGAAGGCAGCGGCTTAACCCACTGAGCCACCCAGGCAACCCCCAAAATGCCATTTTTAAAAGTACCCCCACCTGATTCCGAATCAGTGACTCAGCCATGATTCCTCTTCAAGGAAAAAGTAGTTTAATCCTTATTCATTACATCAGAATAATATTCATATGTTCAAGATTATAAATCATAAGTCTATTGTAGTCCTAATCTAGGAAAGTTTGATATTTAATGTTTCCATATACATATACACACATATACTCTTATAGGTATAAACATTTAATTATATCTGATAACATGAGCCCATAAATGGAATGATGCTGCATTTTTGAGGATGATTCTTCCTTTTTCAGTTGGCCATACCATAATTTTTTAGCCATCAGCTCACTGATACTCATTCTGTTTCCAGTTTTTTGCCACTACTAACAATGACGTAAATAGGAATCCTTACATACAAGTTCTTACACACTAGTGGCTTCATCTGTATGGAAGAAATTCTCAGGGGTAGAATTTTGCATGAAAGGATTTGTGGAACATTTAAAAAAATGTTTTCTAGACATTTCCAGATTGCTTTCTGCAAAGGCTACCACACCTCCCATTTCCAATAACAATGTTTTGAAATTATGATTTTCCCTGTATTCCCACCAGCAATAAATAGTGGTGCTGTTTTAAATGTTTGGCAGTCTGATTTACTCAAAGTGACACCTCAGTGTTAATGGTAACTTGAATTGCCCGGATATAGTGGTGAATTTGAGCATTTATAAAGGTCTATTTGTCACTTGAAATTCATTCTGTGTGAGTTGTCTTTTCATAGCTTTGCCCAGTGATGATCCATCATCAGATGTTATCCTTTAATAATTGTTAAGATATATATTAAGATGCATGTATATGTATATTTATCCCTTTCATGCTATATACCATTTATTACCTTCTATGTGTGTATGTGTATATGTATAATTTAACACTTTGCATTTATACTTTTAAGAATTCCAACTTTAATCCTGTATCTCAATTCATATTTATTATATCTACCAAAAAATGCCAAAAAAAACCCCATACCTCGGTATATATCATTTGTAAATATATAGTCCTCCCAAAATTGTTTTTTTTTTAATGGAAAATATATCCACTACCTCATTTCACCATCTTTTCTTTTTGACATATAACTTAACAAATTCCTCGTCTATTCACTATTTTCTTCTGTTATACTTTCCACATGAAAGCAAATTATAAAATGCAAATCTGATTTTGTCTTGCCCCAGCTTAATCGTTCAAAGCCCACTGCCTCCCTAACAGTCCCTTAAATAAAACATGAATGTGAACTACAAAACAAGGCCATTCATGATGGAGCTCTATGCGGCCTTTTCAAGCTTAGATTCTCACCATTTCCTCTCTCTTGGGATTTACTTTAAACAATCATGTCTTTGTCAGTAGTATCTTTTATTTATGTGTCTTCAGTGCTCAGAACACCACTTGTAACTGTAAATATGATCAATACATATCTTTTAAGATCTTTATTTTTAAGTAATCTCTACACCCCATGTGGGGCTCAAACGTACAGACCTGAGAGCAAGAAATGCCTGCTCTGCTGACCAAGCCAGCCAGGCACCCCAATTCAATACATGTTTTTGAAAGAAAAACTTCTTACTGTTCCCCAAAGATGTGGTTCTTTTCTATGCCTCCATAGTTTGTACATGCTATGTCCTTGCCCTGAAATTGTCTTTCAATCATTTGATGCTTGTCTTGAATATCACATCTTCAGAATCTCCCCCAATTTCTTAGGAAAACTTTCTGTGTTCTTATGGCATCTTGTACTACCTTTACCATAACATGCATTATACAAGTGTTGACATAAGTCTTTTCTCTTTCACAAAATGACCATTACAATATCTTGAAAAGATTTAATCCTATAAATGTACCCAGTTTCTCCTTAACTCCATGATGTACCATTGTTATTGCTTAAAATATATAACTAAGAGTTGGGGCACCTGGGTGCCTCAGTCGGTTGAGCATCTGACTCTTGATTTCAACTCAGATCATGATCTCAGGGTCGTGGGATCAAGCCCCAAGTCGGGATCCCTGCTGTCAGGAGTCTGCTTGGGATTCTCTCCCTCTCCCTACCCCTTCTGCCTCTCCCCCCTCTCTCTCTCAAATAAGTAAATAAATCTTTAAAAATAATAATATATAACAAAGAGTTGGATAAGAGCCACATTTATAAAGAGCTGTTATGTATTCTAAATATAGATATACATACATAAATATATACACATATGTATGGAAATATGTGTATATACATTCTTTTCTTAAAATACCAGAGGAGTTCTCAATTTTCAAAAACATGTACCTGTTTTGAACAACATTGAATAATTTCTCCTCACTCACCTTCCTGGGTTTAATTCCCATTTTTCTTTTCAGTGTACCTCAGAATGGTCTTCTTTTTCATCTGGAAACAGGAAGAGATTTAGACACAGAAATTAGCTCAGCATCATTAAAATCATCTGAATCATTGGGATTTTCTGAAAAGAAGAAAATAATTACTGGGAAATAAATCAGACCTCCCCCCAAGTGTCATAACACCTCTTTGAACATTTAAGCCCATTGCTCACAATTAGGAAGACAAACATGTGATTTACAGAGCACAGGAAGTCTTTTCCATGCCGTAAATACATTTTCCTAACATAGTTGCAGCAAATACCAAGTCCCTGGGATTGAAGAAAGGAGGCAGGGCCTTCCCAGAAGGTAAGGAATACGGAGAAGGTGTTGAGCCTTCGTGGAGTAAGTGGGTGTTGGGCTATTTCTTCCAACCCAGCAGAATTAGGCTGCCCAGAGGCAGAATTAGTCCATTTTTGCTAAACAGAAGTTGGAGGACAAAGAAACCTGTATAATGTAATGGGAAAGAGTGCTGGCTTCTATGGGAAAAAGATATAGGAACTTTAAGCTTTTAGATTTTTAGGGGAAAATATCATAAATATCAAGTTAGAGAAAGGAAAGGAGCAGGAAGTGAGAATGGAAGGAAGTGTGAAAGAGAAGTGAAAAGTGAAACCTTTTAGATTAATTTGTTCAGTAAGATGAAGTCTGAGTCATAATATTCTACTTGCATTGTTCTTTGTACCTCCACCAGAAATAATCATAGACCTCTAAGCCATATTGCATGATTGCAGCTTTTATGTTCTCTAATAATCACTTGTAGTTCGTTCCTGCTTTTATTCCTTATATGCATCATAAGTTTCAATGACATGTTTGAGATTTCATCCATTGCTATACAAAGTACAATGCCTCAGCTGCGATTGCAGCTACTGGTCTGAACCCCAGGGCTGTAGACCCTCAAAGAACCCACAGACCTGAGGAAGTCAGCACGTCCAGATCATCTGCTTTCAGGCAAGAATTCATCTCCCGGTATTGAACTTGGTGAACCGAATTCTCTCCTCTCAAGGAAACTGACAACAGAGGTCCTAGGTTAGGGATCAACAGATCATAATAAAACTTGCCCTCCCTACCAGGGCTTTTTCCCAGCAGTGCACACATACTCAATCTTTATCCATGCCCTTGTCTTTTTTCCATCCCTTCTAAGGCCAAACTTTTCTCTTATAATGTTACAAACCCAAAGGCAGCAGGGTGAGGCCAAACCACCCCTACTGTCATCATATGCCACCCCAGTTTCTTCCCTCAACCAGGTGGCAGTCTTCTCTAACTCGGAGCTTTTAAAAAAAAAAAATCTCTAGGAAACCTATCCATCCTCTCTTCTCCGTGCTCACTATCAAGTCCTTTTCATCTTTCATGCCAACTATTTCAAAATGCTACTCCTATAGCCCCTCACACATCCTGTCATCAAACAGAACGTTCTAAAAAACAGCTGGACTATTTCACCCCCTCCATCACATAATACTCTTTGACTAGTCATCTTCTTACCATAAAGTACATGATTCATCCTTTGTTCCCCATCCTTCTACAGTCTTATTGTAGCTTCTTTCCTTGAACTCAACTTTTACTTCCCCTCAAAATGGCAGGTGGCTTCTCTGCATTTGTATGTATTTTTCTCTTTCCCTATAATGCACTTTACCCAGTTCTTTGAACTTGATTATCAAAATGTCTCGAAGCCTCCAATTCTCTCCATGCCCTGGTTAATTACTGTCTTCTCTGCGCCACTTTTGTTCCTTATTCCCATGAACAGGTAATACTACAAGGTGCCTTATTATTTGCATATGTATCTCTTCTGCTAGACTTGAAATCCCATGACTACTCAAACACTTGACTATTGATGTCTATACCTTCAGAGCCTGGTACACTGCTTAAACAAACAGTAAAATGAGTACTAAGTATATAGTAAGAGCAAATAAATATTTGGGAAATAAAGGATTCCTCCTAAACCATATAAGCATATTCATCTGAAACTACCAATTCTATAGTGGCCTACTTAAACATACAGCTAGAGTTCAGGAATCATCAACCAACCCAAACCCCTTTCTCCTCTGAAATCTTGTTTCCTTTTTTGGAGAAACTACTTGAACCTCTTCTAGGTTTCATCCTTTTGGCTGTTGATGCTTGAGTCTAATATGTGTACACTTGCTTTTAATAGGTGTATCTATTGCCGATAATATGTATTTTATCCCAAGAATCTTCTTATCCCATTGAGACATTAGAAAGACCATAGCTTGGCTCAGACCTGTAAGCAGCTGTTGCTGTCTTCGCCTCTGAATCCACAAGAGGAGAGCAACGAGAAAGGCCAACACAATGACGCCAAGGATCCCCAACGCAACAAGGGATGAGCGACCTAAGTGCAAGAAAGCACCACGAGAAATAACGTCTTAGCTGAGAGACTGAGGTCCCTGGTACCATCCCTCTCTTAGATACAGGATGGCTGAAGTAAGCTTCCCAATCCTCAGAATGACTTCTGATCCAAAGTCTCTTAACAAAAAAGATTCTAAATAATGCAGACAATTGGACCCATGCTCATAAACCCCACGATTATACCTCCAGCATTTGATGATCTTTGGGCCATGGCAATTTCTGTAGGAGAAAAAAGAAGGAGACTCAGTCTGGGGAGTAATGCGTAGAACAAATATTTCTATTTTTTGGTGTGAGTCTTTGGTGCCTCTCAACCAAGTAACCTACTCCTTCCCACCTAAAACTAGGGTCCCCTTATCCTTTACTCCTTCTGTGCAGAGAGACATGTAAGTCATATGCTTTTCCTTGGTAAAAGCCAATGAGTAAGAACAAATATTCTCATGGTTCCTTGGATTGAAACTTCATCACTCTTTCCCCACCAGAACCCTGTGTTGAGGTGTCCAGTCTTGACACAAGGCACTTAATGCCCACTCCCTTGTTGCTGCCCGAGATTCCAAGCTTACTCCAGACTCCTGGCACTCACCTGAGCATCTCACAGCAGCATCTTCCTTGTGCCCACAGTCACTGTGTCCCCAGGGTCTAGCAGGACAATCCCACAAGGAAGACTCATTTCCTTTGCATGCCACTTCATTGAGCCAGATGGGCCCAGTCCCCTGACCGAACGCTGCCTCTTTTAGTGCCTCTAAGGCTGGGCCACAGCCCAGCTGTCGACACACCACCTGCGCATCTTCAAGGTCCCAGGAGTCGTCACACACTGTTCCCCAGGAACCTCCGTGCCAGAGCTCCACACGTCCAGAACAATTAGAGTTTCCTTCTTGAAGTCTTATCTTGTCTGAAAAATCACAGACACCTAGATCAGTTCTGAGAATATAAAAACTTCTAAGAGGTTACAGAAGAAAAGACAGATTTGAAAAATCTTTTTAAATCTTTTTTATTTTAAGGGGCATCTGGGTGGCTCAGTCTTTAAGTGTCTGCCCTCGGCTCAGGTCATGATCCCAGGATTCTGGGATCATGACCCCCATCGGGCTCCCTGCTCAGTGGGAAGCCTGCTTCTCCCTCTCCCACTCCCCCTGCTTGTGTTCCCTCTCTTGCTGTGACTCTTTCTGTCAAATAAATAAATAAATAAATAAAATCTTTTAAAAAAAATCTCTATTTTAATACTTTGCTTTTAAAAATAATATACTTTTAACAAAATTTGTCCTTTATGAAAGCCTATGTTCTTTCAGCAAACTGGGTGTATTTCATCCTGGACATAAGAACATTAGTTTGGGGGCACCTGGGTGGCTCCGTTGGTTAGGTGTCTGCTTTCAGCTCAGGTCATGATCCCAGAGTCTTGTGACCGAGCCCTGAGTTGGGCTCCTTAACCAGTAGGGAAACTGCTTCTCCCTCTTCCTCTGCCTCTCCCCGCCTAGTGCGCGCTCTCTCTCTTTTTCCTTCTTTTTCTCTCCTGCTTGCTCTCCCCCTTTCTCTCAAATAAATAAATAATTTTTTTTTTTAAGAAAAGAACATTAGTGTGACTCAGGAAATGTGAAATAAATGAAGTTAACACAGTATAATGTTAATTTTCTCAAAAAGAAAATGATTTAGGAGACTGCCAGGTATGTGAAAAACCTCTTCCAGTGTAAGAAGATGGAGAACGGCAAAATACTTCAGGATTGATCTTTTTGACTGCTTCTCTTCTTCTGTTAGTAAAGCAAGATAATATTTGAAAGAAAAGTGAGTATGTTAAGGTAGACCATTCAATAGTCAACTACTGAATTATTTATTTTCTGCTCCTCATGTGTTCTCTGAGAAAGCAATTAAATAAAAACTTTCAAGAAGACCATGGGAAGTGTAATGCTTTTTGGACAACTAATCCGTGATCCTGAATACCTATAAGCCAAATTAAATGAAACCAATTATGCCAACTGGGTAGAATAGGTAGCAGATGTTATTCATTCCTACTAAATGAGATCAGAAGATGATCGTGGAATTACAAAATGGAATTCTCATATCAGCCAGAGGCTACTCACCGGCACATGTGATCCAGGTCTCCTCTGAAGGTCTGGCCACTCTCTGTTTCCATGGAGCAGATGGGCACTGCCATAGCGTGTCTGGTCCTTTCGGACATTGGACATTGTCCACCCACATGTGCCTGGATGTTGGCTTGTCTAAAGATGCGGGAATGATGTCTCCTCTGTCCGCGCAGCCCAGCTGCCTGCATACCACCTCCACGGTGGTTGCAGACATCCCGCTCTTGCCAACGCTGCCCCAAGCTCCATTGTAAAAAACTTCCAGACGCCCTGCACAGCTGTGTCTGTTGGTTTCATCGATCAGTCTCAGAGACATGAACTCTGGGGTGAAATACAGAGTTAGTGGTTTCACATCTTCTCTGAAGATTCACAGGGCTCCCTCCCTTTAAGGTGAGAATGGCTTTAAAAATAGGTACAACATGTCAATTATTAGTAATTCTTTAGTAACTTCTAGATAATTTAGTAGAATTTGGTAAAATGTAGTATGTTTTACACTAAATATAGTATGGTTCTATAAATAGCTTATGGTGTTCTGGTATTGGGTTTTGTGCTTAGGGACCTCTTTAGAAGGCCACCAATGATTCTAACTTGATTTCTAAATCTTAATCAAGGGCTCAGAGCCTTTTATATCAATCGCATATCCTGGATTTTTCTCCCTAAATTACTGCAATTTTAGCCTCAAGAAACTTATTTCATTAATTTTTTTGCAGGTCTCTTGATAGTTAAAATTTAGTGAGATACTCAGACACTAAAACCAATGTTGTGCACATCACCTTAAAATGAAACATTTCCTTTTCTGACTCTTTGTAGTTGGCTGCGTATGTCCTCTACCAGTTCATGTCATTAAATGCAAATGATATCAAATCACTTCTGGCATATAGAATTTTTCACTTCCTTAAGTAACAAAGTCATATTTCTGTTTGTCCCAATATATCACCACTGAGTACAGTTTTCAACTTCACAATAGTTTTTAAGGCTTGCCATGTATACAGAATAAAAGCAGTGGGCTCTTATGATAACTTTTGCTCCTATGACAAGTAAGTTTCATTTGCCTATCATGGAAAATTACTTGGGAATGGTGATTACCTTTTGCCCTATGGAAGTAGTGCTGGATTTATTTCTTCTTGTCCCTTCTAATCTACATTATACAGTGATACAAGTGGTGTGCTGAATATAGTTCTATATATATTCATAAAAGTTCTTGATTTTGGTTTTGTTGTCATGTTCACGATAGGCAAGCCTAGTTCTGTATTTTTCTCTTTCTGATGTTATACTACCTTGCACTTGGGGTAGCATTAATTAATTAATCAAATCGACACTTTGGGACCCTGACTCAAGCAATAGTTCCCTCTAAACCTGCTTTTTAGGGAATTCTCTCAGTCCAGTATCCCTTACTCCCCTTGGCTCCTCCTCAGTCCTTCTTGAGTAATTGTGACCAGAGCTTCAGCACAGAACTCACCCAAGCAGATGACTCCTGCATCCTCCTTATGCCTGCAGTTGTGCCGTCCCCAGCCATGTGATCGGCATTGCCAAATGTGAGATTCTTTTCCGTTGCAGTTCATCTCATCCAGCCAGATGGGCCCTGCTCCTTCCCCAAAATGGGCAGAGCCAGTGGCATTAATGGCCATTCCACAGCCCAGCTGTCTGCACACCACGTGGGCATCACTCAGGTCCCAGCTGTCATCACAGATGGTGCCCCAGGAGCCCTTGTGGTAGACCTCTATTCTTCCAGCACAGCGACCGCCTCCGTTTACCAGGCGAAGTTGACCACTCCCTGGAAAGAGAAAATAAAATGTTAATGAAACACCTTCATAAGGATGGAGATCATTTTTATAGATTGGTCACTGATTCTCACCTATGCAAGTGACACCACTTTCTTCTGGAGTGGTAGATCTCGTTGTGTCCGGAGATGAGGAATTGCACAGGGATAGGGTCTGACTCTGATTTCCTGAAAACACCAAACTGCTCAGTCACACAAGATACAAAGAAGTTAGGGTGTGGAAGGGAGACCCGATAGAGTGTAAGACAGACGAGCTGAAAACAAAGAGCTCTAGAGAGAGGGGATAGTGGTAGGTCAACCAGGTTGGGAATGCTTTGAGAAGGGCAGGTACATGGTAAGCACCAGATAGGTAATTATGAGTTTTGTGAAAATTAAGTGTACTTTTCCTCTAAAAAGACACATGAGGTTACCGTTCTGGCACACTTCTCATGATCTCTTAAAATAGATCATGCCCTTTCTCTTTTGTTCTTTGTCCCTATAAGTATACTGGCTCTGACGGCTCACCACCATGAGAAAGGTTCATCACCGGGGGTCCGTCATCCTCTTACCTGAGCAGATTACAGAGGCCACTTGCCCAACGGAGCACAGCGACGCACCCAGAGCAGTGACAGGACAATCTCCCATGTGCCACTCAGTCCCCGTGCAGTGAAACATGTGCCTCCAGATCTGACCACTTCCTTTCCCAAAATGCGCTCCTCCTGGGGTAGAAAGGGCAACTCCACATTTGAGCTGCTGGCACAAAACATGGGCATCTTCCATGTCCCAGTGAGAGTTGCAGAGGGATCCCCAGTTTCCAAGTATCTTGAGTTCCACTCTTCCCTCACATTGGGACTTGCCATTCACCAAGCGGACTTCTGTGTATCCTGGAAGGGGAATAGGGCTTTTAAAAAGATGTCTGCAATTACCTAACCACGCCCTCCTCACAGTACAGGAACAACTGCAACATGTTCTCTGGGTCTCACTTGAGCAGACGACTCCAACATCCCTGCTGTGGCGACAAGTCACATCGGGCCGGGAGGCTACTGAGCAGAGCGAAAGGTGGGACTCCTGGCCCTCACACTGGAATTCTTCAGCCCAGATCTGTCCATTTCCTTCTCCAAAATGAGCTCCCCCTAGGATGGAGATGACTGTGCCGCACTGTAACTCTCTGCACAGCACACTGGCAGCTTCCAGAGAGAAGTCAGAGTCACAGACGGTGCCCCACCTGTCACCATGTTTCACTTCCACACGCCCAGAGCAGGGAACTTCTCCTCCAACCAGTCTGGGTTCCCTGTGGGCTGAAGAATGAGAAATGACAGTGAGAAATGACATGATTGTTCGATTTTCCTTCATGATGGAAGTGGAAAGGGGAGGCTGGGGTGTTTAATGATTTTCCATACTTGTTCACCTTGGCTTTTCTGCCTGGAATTGGCCTAGCAGATTCTAGATGTCTTCATTCCTCACTGGACCAATTCATCTGAGAGAATTTTAGAACATTGGTTCTTGGCATCAACCATTCCTAGAAACGTGATAACTCTTTCTTTTTAATATTTTGTGTACATTATTCATAACACTGGAGACCATAGATTTTATATATATATATATATATATATATATACACACACACACATATGTATATATATATCTTCTTTTTTTATTTTTTAGCCTATATTCATTTCTCTACCTGCTGCTATCTGGTGTTGGCCCCAACCTTTTTGAATGGTATTAAATATAGTGTTGCAATATACTTCCTGTTTTCAAACTGAACATGGGATTTCTTCTTCTCTTTGATATGTGTTAACTTGATACATGAGATACTCCTTTCTCCCATTTTCTCCTCCTTCCCCTCTGACAATACTTTACCAGAATCTTTCATGAATTCCCTGACCAAAATGTTGTCCTCAACTCCCTCACCTTCTCTTAACTGCCAATAAATATTTTTCATTTATATGTTTCTCTTTAAATTTATATTCATAAGCATATCTACTTGGACATTTGGCACATAAGGTGTTCAAAATTGAATGAATTATTTTACTGACCGGACCACAATATTCTTTACTCAACTAATGACATCCAGACCAAATTAGAATCACTCAAAAATCGAACCACTTCTTTATCTCACTTCTTTATCTCAGAAATGATAATGATAATGACAGTAAGAACATTAAATGAGCACCTAATTTATTTTTGGCACTTTACTAAATATTGAACAAACATTATTTCACCTAATCCTTACAATCTCCTCAGGGGAGAATTTTTTAGTATCATTCCAATTTTACAAACAGGGAAATGAAAACAGAGAGGTGTAGTAACTTGCTGTGGTCACACAGGGAGTTCCCGAAGGGCCAGGATTTGAAGGCAGACAGTATGTTCCAGAGCCTAGAATCCTGACCCTCTCAATACACAGCTCATGTGGAATATCACCAAGGTTTGGCAGTCCTCCAGTATATTTCTCCTCCTTATTTGTGGCTACTGCTTTTTCTTTTAAGATTCATTTATTTATTTTAGAGAGAGGGAGGGAGAGAAAGCACGAGCCAGGGGCGGGACAGAAGGAGGAGAGAGAGAATCTCAAGCTGACCTCCCGCTGAGCACAGCTCACATCATAGGGCTCCTTCTCGTGACCCTGAGATCATGACCTGAGCCAAGAGTTGGACCATTAACTGACTGAGCCACCCAGGTAGGTGCCCCTGTTGCTACTACTTTCATGTAATTTGTCTTTTTTTTTTTTTGTCTTCATATATCATGTAGACCCTTGTAATGGTGTCCTAAGCAATCCTGTTATCTTGTTTCTAAGCCATCTTTCTAATGAATCTATGTCATGCCCATACATGTTATTATGTTCAAGTATTTCACATGATTTCTTTGTCTTCAAGGCAATTCAACATTTCTTTACTATTTATGTAATAATTCACCCTTTCACCAAATAGTATTAAGGACCTACAATGTTTTAGGCATTTGGGTGGGCTAAAAATTCTATCACAGTTTAGTCCATCAGTAAAAATAGATACTACTACTACTAATAATAATAGTAATCAAAACCATAGCAATGAACATGTATTGATCACTTGCTGTGTGATTCCTGTGGAGCAGGAATTATAATCACCACTTTTCTTTTGAGGAAATTGAAGCAGAGAGAGCTTTGGAAGATTCTCCAATGTCACCTGTCTATTAAAATTAGAGATGATAAACACTAATTTCTTAGCATGCTTTAAAATACTTTATGCTGTCACTTTTAAAGCTCTCATGTCTATTACTTTATCAATCATACCTGACGCTCCAACCTTAAAGAGTCCTGGTCATGCCATGTTTGTGTGGCTCTACAATTACAGTGTATTTCCTAACCTATGTACCTGGGAAAAAGCTACTTCTTTCCAGGGCTGCTCAATTTCTCAATGATCATCCTCTCCCTCAAAAACACACATGTGAGCAGAAGATATACATGTTCAAATAATGATGAGTCCAGGGGTGCCTGGGCGGCTCCTTCGATAAAACGTCTGCCTGTGGCTCAGGTCATGATCTCAGGGTTCTGGGTTCGAGCCCCACATCAGGTTCTGCCTGGAAGTCTGCTTCTCCCTCTTCCCCTCCCCCCACCCTCATGCTATCATTCCCCCCCACCTCATGCTATCTCTCTTTTTCTCTCTCAAATAAAATATTTTAAAAAAAATGATGAGTCCCAAACTAAAAATATATGTTAGATATGAAACTAGTAAATGAAGGAGTCATCAGCTCTGTTTGAGGCTTTGCAGGAAAACTATAGAGAATGCTATAAATTTGAGCTGAGTTTGGAAATAAAAAGATCAGGAGTTTGCCAAGTAAGCAATTGTAGATCCACATTTAAAGGACATAGTCATAGGGGCACCCAGGTGGCTCAGTTGGTTAAGTGTCCTACTCTTGACTTTAGCTCAGGTCATGATCTCAGGGTCGTGAAATTGAGCCCTGCGTGGGGTTCTGTGCTCAGTGGGGAATCTGCTTGAGATTCTCTCTCTCTCTCTCCCTCTGCCCCTCCCCTGCTCTCTCTTTCTCCCTCTGCCCCTCCCCTGCTCTCCCTCTCTCAAATAAATAAATAAATAAATAAATAAATAAATAAAATATTAAAAAATAAAGGCTATAGTCCTGAAATATGGCATAATTGAGGAATTATGAATAATTTGGTATGGATGGGATTTAAAATGTAAAGAAAAGGCACACCAGAAATAAAGCTAGGGGCACCTGGGTGCTCAGTGGGTCAAGCCTCTGCCTTCAGCTCAGGTCATGATCGCAGGTAAAGCCCTGCATCGGGCTCTCTGCTCAGCAGGATGCCTGCTTTTCCCTCTCCTTCTGCCTGCCTCTCTGCCTACTTGTGATCTCTCTCTCTCTATCAAATAAGTAAATAAAATCTTAAAAAAGAAAAGAAATGAAGCTAAAGATATGGGGCTCAGGTTTTAAGAACACTCTTTGCCAAATACAATTCTCAAGATAAATAGGAGTTTCTTTTGACATTCTCAGAGATGATTCAAATCATTTGGAAGATATAAACTATTTCCTTTAATTAATTTTTAAAGAAAGGAAGTGCATTTGAAGGACCATCTGAAGGGCATACGTCTTTTAGAAATGCCTGCTGTCAAACAGCACTAATTCCCTTGATGTTAGTCTCAGCATGACACAGATATCCTATCAGCACGTGCAAGTTTCTGAAACGTTTCAGATCTAACTATATGCTGTATTGCCGCAGTATAAAATACCCCTGCATGTGAAGATTTCACCACTTATCCATTAAATCTGAACAAAGCAAGTTTCTACTCAAATGTAGGTCGAAGAACACATCGCTTTCTAAACACATCTCCAAGTTTAAAACAGATATGATTCCTCTACCCCACAAATAATGAAAGACTCTTGAGTTGAGTCCTTAATTTCTTCTTGTTAAACCATTATCTGGGCATGAAATTCCTCTAAGATCTCATTAGCTAGCACACATATGATCCCCTTCCACTTTGGAAGAGATATAAACCTTTAAATAAAGGGAGTTTTCTTTCTTCTTTTTTTTAAGATTTTATTTATTTATTTGGCAGATAGAGAGACAGTGAGAGAGGAAACACAAGGGGGAGTACGAGAGGGAGAAGCAGCCTTCCCGCCAAGCAGGGAGCCTGATGAGGGGCTCGATCTCAGGACCTTGGGATCATGACCTGAGCTGAAGGCAGATGCTTAAGAATTGAGCCACCCAGGCGCCCCATAAAGGCAGTTTCTTAGGCTGAGCCGAAGTCATCTTTCTTGTGAACTCTTGCTCTCTCATCTGGCTTCATCTCGAACAAAATAAAACATAGCTGGTGCCAAAACAAACCAAAAAGTGAAACCAAACCGATAATTTCTTTCATCGTGAAAACTTATTAAGCACTTGAAAAGAGATCCCTTCTATAAATATCCTCTTCTTTCATTTTTTCCTAAAGTGTTTGAACCCTGGGCAAAGGGAAATTCTTCCATGCAGAAATGACTTCGAGATTCCATTCTAGTTTTTCTTTTTTCATGAATCTGTTAGTAACACATTAATCTACACCATAAGTTGGTTTCCTCATATCGTTTACTCTGTGTACATGGTTAGACTATTCAAAATTTACTCCTTTAAGAGATTTCTTTCCAGCTAAACCTGTGACTGCATTTTAACATAGAAGCCATTCATTTTATTTTTGTACCTGGATTTAGCTCCTTTGATCAATAATTTAAACTTCTCCCTGGCATAAGTAACTGAATTTGTCTTTCTTTCTTTCTCTAGAAGTAAATAAATGAAGACATGAAGAACAAATGTGAGAAAGAATTCCTTAGAATTACTTCCTTTTGTTTAGTAAAAGATAAACTACACAATATGATTTAAAGAAACATTAACATACTATCATTTATTTCTTTCCAGACTCTGAAGAAGTGTAAAGCATTCTAGTATCAAAACTATTTCTCGGGGCACCTGGGTGGCTCAGTGGGTTAGCCTCTGCCTTTGGCTCAGGTCATGATCCCAGAGTCCTGGGACCGAGCCCTGCATCGGGCTCTCTACTCAGCAGGGAGCCTGCTTCCCTTCCTCTCTCTGCCTGCCTCTCTGCCTACTTGTGATCTCTGTCTGTCAAAGAAATAAATAAAATTTTAAAAAATAAACTATTTCTCAAACCTTAGTAAATACAATGGTGACACAGTTGGTTAAGCAACCAACCCCTGGTTTCGGCTGAGGTCGTGATCTCAGGGTCTTGGAATCAAGCCCCACATCAGGCTCTGTGTTCAGTGCTTAGTCTGCTTGGGATTCTCTCCCGCTCCCTTCTGCCCCTCCCCCACCCTTTGC